AAAATTATTACAGTATACTTCATCATTAAACGATGTTCACCACTCATAAAAACAAATAGGGAGCGTTATATGGATAGGACATTAAGAAACAAACATCCTAAGGTCAGCATAAACCAAACCAAAAGCTTAAAACTATGACCCAACCGAATATGAAAGCAAGTAATAGCAACTATAACGCGCCTGCTATTAAGCAGTCAAACAAATGACTTGAGTTTTGCAGAAAATGACCGCCAAAACAGGCGTGGTTTACGATGTAATTGGCTGGGCAGCATTAACGCGCGTTGGAAGTCGTACGAAGGAACAAGTTATGGGGAGTCACAACATTCGCTCGTCTCTCTTGATATATCGAGAGACGCGAGCGAATGCTACGGAGGAATAGGATATTAATGAGCTTCTAGGGATAAAAATGATGGAAATTAATTTTTAGCGATCATTTTTGAAGAGAAATTTCGGAATTAACAGAATCGGAATTTCGGAAGATTCAGTACGACTGATGATGATATACTCCAAATCAGCTGTGAGAACAAACGGTAACCAACAACAACGCCAACTGCGTATCAAATGAAAGCAAAAATTTGCATCTGTCATCATTATAGTGGCACAGATGTGCACACAAGTCAATAGCAAGAGCAGCAACAACAACGACGTCGTTAACCGACCCAAAACTGCTTAATACGTTCTTCTTGAGTGGATCGACAAGAACTGAATAGGCCACAAGATATCCTTAAACATTCCTCATCATTGAATAAAACTTAATGATTTATAATCCTTACAAATAGGAAACAATAAATTATCGCAGAGATTTCCACGATGGGTTTATTTGAACATGAATGCTCTTAAATATACATATCCGTTAGATCAGAATATGTTTATTGTATGGAGCAGTATACCTTGGAGCCTGTTCTGGCGGCTGTGAAGACTAGACTAGGGTTTGCGAAATCCTGACGATTTTTCAATCCCGGGATCGGGATTTAATCCCGGGATCGATTTTTGATCCCGGGATAATCCCAGGATCGAACAATTATTGAAATATCGATGCGGGACATGTTTAAACACATTTTTTCGAACCAATATGTTCATTATTAGTCAGAAAAGAGCTAAATCAACAAATTATTGAACAAATCCAAGGAACTAAGTATTCAAATTCAAATTAATATTTCAAATAATGATGCCAATGATCATGTCGTAAGGGCATACTGCATATTCTATGCTAAGGCATCTTGTCATCTCGGGTCTAAGCTAATAACAGTACACTTGCATGTGAATACGAAATTCTTGATTCTCAAACACTTATTTGCAATGCTTCAAATCCATTTTCTCTCAGTATTAACGTCAGCTGAAATCTGCCGTTTCGGAAATTTCGATTTTTTACGAAAGAAATGCACCGCATGAATTATATCATTTGAATTTTGAAATAATTAAAATTTCCAAGTTTATCTAAAAAGGTAAAAAAATATCCGCAATGGATTTTCACCGAACCATCGAGCACTTACATATTTGATAATTTCGATCAAAAATCATGCAAATGTACTTGATATTCAAGCATAAGATCCTTTTGAATGGAACAACTTTGCTCACTCCGGCAATGAACTATCACTATGAGTGAACTCAGTGAAAATTTATGTACATTTCGATCGGATGAAAACGTTTCCAAATAGCGAAGTAAAAAGACTTGCAGTCTTTGGAACATGCAGCTGAATTAACAGATGG